GGTGCCGTGGCTCCCCAGACAGCGACAGCGCGGTGCCCTGGATAGCTAATGGGGCTGAAATGCGGGACTATGGAAGTAACCAGTTTCCAGCTGGGAGGGAGGAATGCAGCGCTCCCCGGCAGGGAGCAGGGCTTGGGGAGGTCCTGCCAGGAGGAGCCGCAGTCAGAGCCGGCAGCGGCTGGGCGTAGGAAAACCGTCCCTGTGCCCCGTGGCCGGGAGGGACCTGGGGAGCACTCGCAGCCCAGCTGAGCCACCGTGACCCATCCCAGAGGAAACGTGCCTGGTCAGCAGCACCCACAGAGGTGTCCCGCGTGCACAGTGTAAAATGCCCAGGCTGCACCCTGCCCACTGACCGGCACGGTGCCCCCTCCCCGGCGGGGCTGGCCGTGGGGAGCAGCACAGGTCCGAGCCCCAGGGCCAGCCGGGGGAAGCGGCTCTTCCCGGGCTGCGGCGGGGGGGGGAAAAAAGGCGGCAGGGGAACAATGCCGGTCTGTTCCCTCCACGCGCTGGGGCTGCCGGAGAGGGGTGACCCTGCACGCCGGGCGAGCCCATCATGCTCAGCTCACAACATCTGCTTCTCGGCGCAGTTGGCTCAGTGGCGAGGCTGTCCTGGGACAGCTGGGAGCAATTACAGTCCCTCTGTAGGAAAGGGGAAAGGTGACCTCAAAGGGAGATTTATGTCCTGCCTGTATGGCAGTTGCCGAGGGGCTGAGCCAGCTCTGACGTGAGTGGGAACGAGGGCTCGAGTGCTCCAGCCCACCGGCGCTTTGCACATAGCCAGCTCTGTCATCATCCCTGTGCCCCCAGGTCCGCTACGCGACCTGGAGCATCATCATGGACTCGGTGGTGCCGTCTGATAAGGGCAACTACACATGCATCGTGGAGAACAAATACGGGAGCATCAACCACACCTACCAGCTGGATGTCGTGGGTGAGGAGTGCAGGGCTGGGAGGGCTTACCCTGGGTCCCCGTCCACCCCACCCTCCCTGAGCAGAAATGGGTGCTGCACCCTACAAAGATGGGGATGGGGAGCGCTCACAGGGACGGGGCACACTCGCTGTCCCCACAGCCGCCCACCCCAGTGCAGAACTCTGCAGCACAGCGGGTCCGCGAGCAGGTGAGGAGGAGGGTTCACCTCAACCTGTTCTGGGGATTTTTAATTGTGCTGGAAATAATTTCATAGACCAGACAGAAACTTTTTCTAATCACCTTATTAGCCATAATTCCCAGCTGGGAAGGCTGGTCTGAGCAGTTCCACATGTGGAGCTGCTCTAAATGCCAGTAAATGAACCATTAAAAATGTGATTTAATTTGATTACACTGAGCAAACTGAAGGGAACAGTCAGCGAGGTGAACAAAGGGGTTTGTTAATGCTGACTCACCACAGTGGCAGCCGCTTTGTTAACGGCCGGGGCCCTCGTTAGGTTTGTTTGACCTCTGACCCCCCTGAATAGGTACTGACGTCCCTGTCCCCGCACCGGGATTTCACCTGTCCCCAGCCCCCACCCCTCCTGGCTGTTCTCGCCCCACTGCCGGGGGGGGCCCTGGGGAGGGGGACGCCACGGCTCTGCCGGGTGCATCGGTGCCCACCCCAGCTGGGGGTCCTCATGCATGGGGGGGCTGCAGGGTGCACCCCTGCGCAAGGCAGGTGC